CCTATGAGGCACTGCCACTGCATATGAAAGGACTGTTATAAAAATAAACACTGTGTAGCTCATACATTCTTCAATTCATGTACATGGAAAACACTAATTTAGACAGAATTTGGACAGAAACTAAACAGTGATTTTTAACATAAGCAGGGACAAATGTTAATAGTACAAATAGTGTGCTTAAATAAATACAAGAAATACACAGAAATCTATACAATACATAGAGTAAAACTTGTAAATGTTACTATTCAAGTCAGATTTTTAGGAGAAAATTGCAGCACAAGCTGTGAAGATGAGACAAGACATCCGAAGCATCACAAGAAAACTCTCCCTCGCCTTCCGTCTTCATGTAAAAGTATAAAAACAAAAATAACTGATAGGTGACGTGACGCATAATCCTTTTTTTTAAATGTGAAAGTAGTCTTTTATGTAATTGTGCACATTACACCTTTTTTACAGATGAGTAAGCACATCTGTGTTCCCTGGAAGCTTTGTAAATCTTATTAAGCTCTGAAGTAGTCGGTCATGTGCAGGTTGTGTAATAAAGTCTGCACAGCAGTCAGATTGCTCATGTCTCTCTCTGCTTGCTTTTCTCTTTTGACATTTTGTGCATCGGAGCACACCTCAGTTTAGAGCGGCTTAACAACAAATCATTTAAATCCTACATTCAGTTAAAAAATTTAAAACAAAGGAGAAATTGTTTTGCATTTGAAGTGACACATTTCAGAAAATTTGGCACATGATCCTGCTTAAATCACATGTTAACAACCCCTAAACTGACTAATTGTTGCACTTTAGAATTGTGTTTGTTTTTTAATGCCTGCAGGCCCAAAGATAATGACCACTGAATATTGGTTTTCAGACATTTTCATTGTGTGCAGAGATTTCTCCAGATTCTCTTAATCTTCTAATAAAGTGATATATGTAGGTACTTGAATCTGCATGCCCCCTAGCATTTTTACAATAAGAAATGCTATTCTTAAAATATTTCCCCACATAGTGCTTCAAAGAGTCCTGAACCCTTCCTCGTTTTTATGAAAGACTTTCTAGGGAGCTCTTTTTATGCAAATGTAGGTTTGTATTTATTTCTCATCTTTTTTTGGAGACGGGGTTGTATGTTTAAATCTGACCTGCACACGTACTAGCTTCGTCTCTTTTGCAGATTTATGGGGACCTGCTATGCACTGTTCTGGTACATCTTCTCCCTGGCACACGTTGCACTCTTCGTCACCCGCATCAGCTACACAGAGGAGCTGCGCTCTTTTGTCGGCGCCATGATCATAGGCACCTACAACATCGTGGTGGTTATTGTGCTGACCAAGCTGCTGGTGGCCATGCTCCATAAAAGCTTCAGGCAAATTGCTGTAAGTGTAAATAAGTTTTGGCGCTGATGGTCTCACTGCTGCCACGGGCAGTTTGAATTTGTCCTGGCATTGAAATCTCCGACGGTTTTCGTTTACTGTTAAGGTTTAATTTTCCTCAAAGTAGCCCTGAATTGTTGCACAGATGTTAGCTACTTTCTTTCCTTGGAACCGCTCTTTGCGGCCTGCTTGATTTCGATTGCAATAAGTGCAACTTATCTTTCACAAAAATCTGTTCCCCTAAGTTTCCACTGTGTGGTGGTTTTGCATTTTCAACATTCCTCCTGTAAAACTGTGTGTGAAAGTTTAAATGCATGAAAGTTTTCCAACATTCCTTCGTTCTTAAGTGTTCTTATTGGCTTTTGGACTCCTGTAGAATCACGAGGATAAAGAGTGGAAGTTTGCCCGGGCCAAATTGTGGCTCAGCTACTTTGATGACAAGTGCACGCTGCCTCCACCCTTAAACATCCTCCCTTCTCCAAAGACTGTCTGCTACTTGGTGACCAGCCTGAGCAAGTGGATCTGTTCACACACCTCGAAGGGCAAAGTGAAGAGACAGAACAGTCTGAAGGTGAGAGATAAACAATATTGTAAAAGTTTGATTCAAACCCATCTTCTAATCTTCAACAAATGACCCTCTGTGTTAATGCTGTCCTTACAGGAGTGGAAGAACCTGAAGCAGAAGCGGGATGAGAACTACCAGAAGATCATGTGCTGTCTAGTTCACCGCTACCTGACCTCCACCCGGCAGAAGATGCAAAGCACAGACCAGGCTACGGTGGAAAATCTGAACGACCTTCGCCAAGACCTGTCAAAGTTTCGCAATGAGATGAGGGACCTGTTGGGTTTCCGGACCTCCAAATATGCCATGTTCTACCCAAGGAGCTAAAAAAAAGACTTGTTATTCTTTCCCCTCCTGTCCTCTTGACAAAATCTTTGCTTCTTGTTTATCTGGGCTGCTGTGTGACCCGAGCATGTGCAAAAAAAAAAAAAAATAGAAAGAAAAAAATACTCTGCTCTTTTGAGTCACAGAGGCGATTAAACCTCACTTTAAGCCTGGAACTTAACTAGACAAATATGTATCCTCCACCAAAGCCTCCAGACTCAGGCCTCCTATCTATTACTCAGCTATGTAACCTTTTTTGTAAATAAAAAAAGCCATTGTTTTCAATAGATAAATAAAGATTTAAGAAAAAAACACACACTGGATATTTCATGGCTTTTTTCGTTTTGGCTGCAACAGGTCTGAAAGCAAAACTATTCAGCCAATCCCCGAGCTGTCCGCTCCACGAGAGAGTTGCGCTACAAACACCTCATCCATTCTCATGCTTAGCAGAGCGTGTTTGCCTCGACCGCTCTAAACAGACCAGATATTATGTGGCATTCTCCCAGGTGAAAAGTCTTACACAAAAAGAGGAACAATCTAAAGTGGTGAAAGCGTTTTATTTGGACAGATGACAAAAATAAAATATAAATAATATTATTAAAGTTTCTTCCATAAGAAAATAGTTTTCATTTCATACCTTTGCTTCTAAAAAAAGACACTAAGAAAATATCATAATGACGATGATGCTCGAGAAAAAAGCTTCAGCAAATAAGCTCCTCGCTTGGTTGGCGTGAAACCAGAAGAACTGAAAGAATATTGCATGTATAAAATATTGCACATTAAATCACCACAATTAACACTTCCAAACCTGCCCATTAAAACCGAACTTGGGAATTTAATGGCAGGTGCTAAACCATCATTAAAGCTATGACAAATAGCTGCAACAAATCCCCCCTGTGGATATTAAGCTTGTTAAATTAATGACTGGTCCACCAAACTGACATCTTTATTTAATGCATCAGCCCCATCCTTTATTCACATTGTATTCAAGAGCCTCAAAGGGTAAAACTGAAAGGCAGAATATGGAATACTCTGAGGAAAACTGCCACTATGGAATGCCAGAACAGATGTGCATGCACACCGAATTTTTAAAATATGAATAATGTTTATCTTATGAAACATTATAATAAATTGGTGTTCTGCCTATTTCAGACACCGGTGACTGGGGTCAGTTTAATCCTGTGCTAGAATCATGACATGAATGCGAAAACCTCGAGTAATTGAAGACAGATGGGAATTTCTCCGTGTCTTGTTTGTTCTGTAATCATCCAATTTACAGTCATGGTAAAAAAAAAAAAAAGAGAGAGAGAGAGAAAGAAAAACAAACAAGCAAAAAGTAAAGTACACTCACTTTGACTTCTAAGGTTTTATGTATCAGGACATAATAAAAACCACCTGCTCCTTAGCAGGGCTCAAAATCAGATTCAGACGGACTACAAAACATGACATATTACACAAAAACTAACCCTTAAATGCAGGAGCAGTATGTACACCCTTACTGCTTACATGTGAGTTAAGATGCCAATGAGGAGAAAGCAGCTGCTAACCAATGCATTCGATGAACTGATCGTCATCGAGTGTGAGCCCCTATGTGACACGCAAGTTTTGGCAGTTTTCTATTGTCTGGTGTCTTCAGCTGTGTGTTAACACAAAGCCAAAGAGGAAAGACATCAGCGATGATCTTAGAGAAGAAACTGTTGCTGAGAGCTGCTCTACGGCAAGGATGCATGTTTTTGTGTGTGTAAGTGTGTTTATTTCCGAAGCCGGCCAGTGGGCCAGATTGGAATCTTTTCAGGCCGATTCTGGTCACTGGGCCAATTCTGGCCCGCGGGCCTTGTGTTTGACATCCCTGTTCTATACAGTCATTAAAAATATTCACAGGTGCCAATCTTCCCAGGAGTGGACATCCCAGCTAATTCACTTCAAGGTCAGGCCGCTACATCTCAGACTCTACAGGCCTCAGTAAACTGGATGGTAGCACAATTAGACAGAGACTGAACAAGTGTGGCTTATTTGGAAGGGTTGCAAGGCAAAAGCCTCCTCTCATCCAAAGTACTTAAGCATGGCTTAGGTTTGGAAAGCTATATCTGAACAAACCACAAGATTTCTCGAACAATGTGCTTTGGACACGTGAAACCAAAGTGAGTGTTTGGTCATAATCCACAGTCTCACGTTTGTCAAAAACCACACACAGCATATCAAAGCTCCTTTGTATCCCAAAATATTCTACAGTCAAATGTGAGGCCATCTCTCTGACAGCTAATGCGGGGCTGAAACTGGTCGTCCTTTTGTATAGAGAGCTCACGGTGAGCTCAGTGACTGCACAGTGTCCAGGTCCTGTGATCATCACCCCTCCACTATGGTGCAGTACTTGGCAGCCTGTATGAGGTCTTCATGCTTATATGCTGTTTGGTTTTCACTAAACTTGGCACAGGACAATGATCCCAAACATTCCAGCAAATCTACAACAGAATTGCTGAAAAAAAAAAGAATCAAGGTGATACAGTGGCCCAGTCAAAGTCCAGTGCTGGACAGGATCTTAAGAATTCATCCAGAAGGATGTGAGACTGAAAAGTCATACAACTAATTTCTAGTTATTGCTGCTAAAATAGGTTCTTAAAGCTATTGACTCTTACTAACCTACTGAAATTGGCTGTTCTACAAGTGGCTTCTACCTTTTGACTTGTTTTTTGCTAAATAAATAAATTTGATTACATTTTTTAAATGTATTTATTATCCTAACACATAAAATATAAGAAGTGACAGAGGATGTACTTTCTTTTTACCGTAACTGGACAGGAAAATGACTGAACACACAAAGTTTCCATCAACTGAATAAAATCATGTAGTTTCCATGATTTGCAGCGGCAGCTCCGCAAACGCATTCAGATTTGTTTTCATATCCTTCGTTTGTGTTCTTGAGAAGGAGATTGCTTTTGTTTTTTCATGTAATAATTTCCATCCACAGATGAGCCTTGAGCAGACCAGTTAACAGAAGATCACCAGAGCTACCGGAACTCAGCACTGCTTGTTTATCAAAACGTTGAGTCCTTTTTGGTTCTTTGTCTTAAACGCCATAACAAAGTGGTGCGGGGCGATCTTTCCACGGCCCTCCTCGTCCACCTGGCCCATGAAGATGTAGTTCAAGCCTAGTGAGGTCACACAAAAAAAACCTGAATGCAGTGGCAGAATGGCAGAGACATTCAGGGAGGCCAAAATGTGAGAATCTGCCCACAGCAGGTCTGTATACTATATGTTTATATGCATACATATAAACTTACAGTACTTAGAGTTGAATTGACTGTTTGGACAGTGAGTTCTGCCGCTCACCTAACGCCTCAACTGAGAGTGACAGCGCATCACAGGAGGCAAACTCAGAGCCATAAGTTATTCAAAACAGTCAACCAGCATCTATACAATGTCATCATATTGCAGATAATAACCGGGGGGGAAAATTATATCGAGGACACTGAGAAAAATGTATTTCATCTCTACGCTGTACACTCACCTCTTCTGATAACTGGGCACTTTTTGCACAGGATAACGATCTTGGTGCTCATTGTCTTTCCTGCCTGCTGGATTGCCAGGTTGCCTTCTTTATACACGTTGATAATAGAGACGGTGGCGTGCATACTTCCACCTCTAATCACCGCTGTAATAACAGTTCCAGTTATCACTGTTGTAAACACAAAAAGCAGATGAAAAATTACTGAAACATTTCTTAGAAAAATAGTGTATATAACTCCCCAAAAAAGCCTATACAGACAGAATACATACATGTAAAATCCACAGATACATTTTCTTGTACAGAAAACTACAACTGCAATGGCTCCCGCAAGTGCTACAGTACCTCAGTCTTCTTCCCCTCACCCACAACCGGGGGTTTCTTCCTGTTAAAAGGGAGTTTTTCTTTCCCACTGTTGCCAAAGGTTTTGCTCATAGGGGTCATCTGATTGTTTGGGTTCTCACTGTTTTCTCTGTACTATTGTATGGTTTACCTTGCAATGTAAAGGCAACCGTTGTTGTGGTTTGATTCCTTAAAAATGAATTGAAGTGGTTTTAAAGCGTCTCTTCTGCAAAAAGTGGAGTTTTACTTGGCCTCCAACCTTGCACAGACTATAATATCCAACTTTGCTGGTCTTGCTTTGTCTTGGCACTTGTTCTGGGGTCTTTAGGCACATCTCTCACTATTTTTCTTTCCAGATTCTTTGAAATTTTTAACTTCCTACCTCTTCCAACATTGTTCTGTACTCTGTGGCTCTCTTTGAAACTCTTGATGATGCTTCTCACTCCAGTTTTAGACACTTGGAAACACTGTGATAACTTTGTATATCCACCTCCTGCTTAGTGAGCCTCAACAATTGTCTTTAAACATGGTTAAAACTCTGCTGCGATTGAGCCATAGCACAATCACAGCAGTGATTGTGCTATGGCTCAATAAAAAAGTCCGTTTGTATAATAATACTGACCCTAGAAATGTTTGGGTTTTGTTTTCTATGAATTAATTAAATTGTTGTGTGCAAAAAGAAACTATTTATGCTTTCTAAAGAAAACCAGAATGTTCAGAAATGCTATGTTGAACATCCCTCTGTTAATAAATTATGGCAACTGCCAGTACTAGCCCCTCATCCTCACATTCACGTTTGGTTATCATATTCATATCTGAGAGAGCTGTGAACAATATGTGCGTGCTACATCTCAACTCCGCTTCTTTGAAGTGCAGCCTGTCTTTAAAAATGTCACTGTGGATTAACAGCATAGACTCTATACATTTCCTTTCAGGCTGTGAGCGCTACACCCTTGTGACCTTTTTTTTTAAAGCTTCCTTATCCATCTATAAGGTAAAAGCTCCCTTTAATACAACATCAAAGAATTCCAACTCTATCAAACAAGAGGAAATTGAACGTGGGACATCATTAGTGTCACACAGACAGAAAGAAATCAAGGTGATAACGTCATTATAAATCATCTGACAGTTTAACTGCTCAGAGCAGAGATACTTTGCTACTTTGTTCCAGGTTTATTTTCCTGACTGATTCTGCTTAAACAATGCGACCAGTGTGCGGGGTGAAGTTTCAGCCATTTCCTGTTTAGACAGACCAGCTCTCACAAAAGAAAAACATACAGTTTTGCCGTTTGTTTCCACGGCTGGTGGAGAAGTGACGTTTAGCAGTGACAGCTGAGTGATACTGGAGCCGGTGGAGTGGAGGAGGAGGCACGGCTCATTCAGCATGAACAGGATTCTTTAACCTGATGGTACCAATGCGTCTGGACTTCACATGCTGCCTGTTTCATTTCCTGACAGGGATGAAATTAGCCAGAGGACTGCCTGTTTTAGTCGTGCTATTATATCTGTTGCTACTGTTACATAAACCAGCGAGCTGTATTTGATGATTTAATGTGTAGATGCCACATAATTTGATTATTTTAAAATACCAGCAGTGATTGGACCAGCTATTTTCAGCCTTGTCATGTCTCGTCTCCCTGTTTCACTCAGATGCGCCGATCACATAAAAGCGACTTTTTCTGCATTCGCCGCCACATCACTCGTCTTTCCTTTTTTCCCCCTTTTCCTCGACACAAACCGCATGTGTCAGATTGCCGAGCCTGAATAAACGCCTTCATTTATTGCCACTTTGCCTACAGTCAGTGGCTGAGTATGAGTGTGTGTTTAGACTACAGGTAACCGTGCCCTACTGTATGCAATCATTCACTTCTTGACAGGCTATCAAGGAAGTCTTTGAGATGTGTAAGGGAAAAACAATCACAGAGCAAAGATAGCAACATAATCAGGACTATAAACTGCTACTTAAGGGGAGTTTTGGCTGTCAGCATGGGGTCTACTCATATATATCTTCAGAGAATCTGCAATTCAAGCTGTTTAGGATTAGTATTTGTGAAAGCAGATATGTTAAATGATACAAAAATGGCTGGAATGTATTAGTGACTATGGCTTAATGTGGTTTTTGATAAGTTACAGTAAGCTTTTATGTTCTCACCAAAATTGCTGGAGCAGTAATTGCTCTCAAGCGTTCCTTGTCTTTTGCATTTCTGCCGGCACAGGGCAACAGAGTACTTCAGAGCTGCACAGAGAAAAAAAGAAACACACACACACAAAAATCAGCCTCTGTAATTTTGCCCGCCAGTGACGCGGGCATGTAAGTTATGTTGCCATCTGCTTCTGCTGCAGCCTATTTACTGAGTATTCTTGGTAACACGAGTGTCTCTACAGATGGATGGCTGTCAGTATCACAGACAATAGCTCGATTATGTGGCGAGGGAACGTCTGTTTTTGAAGTTAAAGATAGAAGAGAATCCATAAAGGAAAGAACTGAGGCTTGAAGTAAATACAATGTGACTGTGCAAATATTTTTCTTACTGTGGAGGGAAAAGTCGGGTGAGAGGGGGAGATAAGCCAACCAGAAAGCAGTGACACAGCATGACATCATAGCAGGGGGGCGCCAAAATAACCTGGCCTGAGTGACGGAAAAAAACAACAATGTGTGGGAATGCGAGTCTGACTATGAAAATGAGCTGTGATTGCAGGTGCAGACGCACGCCCACCCCTTGTGTTATGTACAGTTTACACAAGAGAAAAGTCTTATGAGCATAACACATAGTTTTAGCATATGCTGTGTTACAACATGTGCTTGGCTGCATCTGTAATTGGACTACACTTTCCGGTATGTTCTATTGACTCACTGGCTGACTGCTATAATCTATTTACGTGAGCAGAGCATTTGCTCTTATGTGAGCCACATGTGTGGGGACAGTAGCAGAATGCATGGCCACAAGCAGCACACTGTACTACTACTTAAGCACCTCGCTCTTTCCTTCTCTTGCCTACATTTGCTATTGGAAGCAGATTTTAGATCCTTCTCAAGTTGAAAGAAGGAGATAAAATCCCACATGTTATCAAAGAATCCAGCAGCACAAAGCAAATACAGTCAAATCAGCTAATGCAGATATTAGAAGTCTGTGGATGTTAGAAGTTTTTTAATGGTTTCTATTGAATATAAGCTGCTACCTACGTATTGGCCTGGTGGTGACTGGCTGTGTGGTAGTTGCAGGCAGTACTGTTGTGGTGGGGAATTTCTTTGGTCTGAATTTGTAGTGCCCAATGAAGCCGTCGGCAGTCAGGCTGAGATCTGACAGGAACTGGATTAGGAGCTGATTCCCCTCCGACAACACCGGCCTACAGAGCAGCACGGGAAAGCAGACTGAGGATGAACTGAGATGAAATCACATGATGGTTTAGTGAAAATGAACTCTACAGCATGACAGAAATCACCTACGCTGGGGGGCTGTCTCCGCAGTATTTGCCAATCCTCTTCGCATCGTTTATTTCCGGCCCGTTGAAAATGGAGACGTGGTCGTAGCGGCAGTAGTTGTCTCGTTCCACATCGAACTTCTCGAACTTCACCTCAATAATCTGCAGCAGGAGACAAGTTATAAAGTATTCCTCTTTTTTCTAGCAGAAGCTTATAACAGGCCCTAGGGTGCATCATCTGACTAAAGTGTATGCTGTCATTTTTGAAAAGATATACTCCACCTGCGACTCACTGAGATTTCTTAAAAGAACGGCTCAGGTAACTTGCAATGTTTTATTTCAATAGAGTGTTATTCCGCCACTGGCATTTACTCATCATTGATATAGAGGGAAAACATGCACGGAAAAATGACTACATGAAAAACTTCTGTATCTTCATTGATTTACAAAACTCTGTTTTTCTGCTGTGGATAGCTTCTCCAGTTTCCTCAGATTTTCTAAGCACACAACACACACCATGTCAAGATATGACAATTTTCCTCTAAAAACTCTTTGGGAATCACTCTGTTGTTACAAAAATACTATATTCTGCCTGTCAAACTGTGTTTGATATTTGAATGGTGCACAGATATTGTGGCCTAATAAAGAAACAAACAAACAAAGATATTCCCCTGAAAATGCTAAGGTACAAGGACTGGCCTGAAAATGAGTGAAAAAGCAGCCAATGTTCAAAGAAAGCCTTTGAAAACCCTCCAGAAAGCCTGAAGAAGTATTGTTAAACAGCACTTTAAAAAATGACAAGACAGAGTGTCTCCTTGGAAGCAAAATATAAAGAAATTAGGAGTGACTCAAAACTTTTGCACAATCTCCTGGAATTTCAGTTAATTTGAGGCCAGTTATTCAGAAAGAAACATTTGCATTCACTAATTTTTTTAAGTAAAATTTTTAATGTATGACCTGGTTCTTTGGTGCTACTATATGCCAGGAGCAGGTCACTCCAGCTGGGTAGTCCTTCTCAGGCCAGTTGGGTGTTTTGAAAGTCCCAGAGGGCTTAACCAGCCTGCCTCCACAGTACTGGTCCCCTGAGGAGAAATGACTGAAGTTAGTGCTAGGATTACACAATTAATTAGCTAAATTCTGCTCCTGTTATTGCTTGAATGAAATAATGAATGTTATTTAGCAATCTTTTAAAAGCTATAATGGTGAGTCAGTAATGTGCTCGTGTTATTAACTGCGTCTAGGGGCTCTCACTGCCTTTTTGTCGTTATGAACACCATAAAAAGCAAGTCTGTCATTAGTCATCTGTGGGTTTAAAAATAACTGCCATCAGAGGAACATCAGTTCAGAAAAAACACAAACTCTCAAAGGATCGAATCGCTTAAAAACACGCTTTCCTTATGACATATACTTTAACTGATTCTGCCTTTCCAGCATGTAAAAAAATACATTTAGCAAATTGAAGAAAACAAATCTCTACAAATGGGTGACACGTGGTGCAGCAGAGTTTTAACCATGTTTAAAGACAGGATAGCAACAGTCTCTCTGCCAGCGTGTAAGAGCCTGGCTGACTGGTTAATTGACACTGTCCACTACAGCTGTCAGCTCCTACGGTACAGAAAACCAGACATTAAACTTCTAAAAACAGTAGATGGCCCAGTGAGGTAAAACGCTAAAGGCTCTAAGTGAAATTTCTGACCTTTGCCTTGCAGCACAATAGCCAAAAAACATGAGAAATTCCACATCACAGTGCGTGAAGAGTTAAAAAGCAGATTTCTTTTAATCCACATGGACTTTTAGCCCACAGACCTGCTCTTACTGAGCACTACACGAACGGATACATCCTGTTGTTTTACTGGGTGTCTGCATACAAACAAGGTAAGATTTACTTCTTAGTAACATTACAGAAGCTCCACATATTTCTGCATTACATGCTTGGATAGCAGCAAGATGTTCTGCTACCCTTGCAAACTTGGCACCTTTGACTAAGACAGCTGTGTTAAGAGGAAGCATGCCCAAGCTTCTTCTTCTCCCCATGTTTTCTTACCTCGCTCATGTGTATGGGCAGCAGAGAAAACAGCCAGGAAGCCACTCCCAGCAGTGTTGGCATCGGATACCATCTGCAGGAGCATCTTGTTGCCTGTGGAAACAAGGGCTCCTGGCTTGAACGTCCCACAGAAGCGACCCAGTCTCTGTCCATTGACATGGCCGCTGTAGACATCCACATAATCATAGCGACACAGGTTGTCATTCTCCAGATCAATGAAGCGGAATGACAGTACCACCACCTTGCCCTCCGGGACCTGGGTGGGGAGTTGGAGAATGCTTAGTTAAATTATTATTATTATTAGATGGCATAACAAACAAAAGAGCATAGACCTAAATACTGAATATTGTTACTTTAATACTCTCAAACATTTAACCTAATTGTGCATTTTAACCCAGCTTATGCCGTTTTTCCAACCTAATCATCAGCTTCACTGCAATAAAGTACAGAAACATCACAGAGCCACTCAGCAAAGATTGCCCTAAGCTAACTACGGCTGTGGTTAACTATTTTTAGAAGGAAATTAGGAGTTTGGACTAAGACAAAGATTGTCATACTGTATTTATTTTTAATGAACAATGCTTTATCACTGTCATCATATGCTATGAATGAAAAACACAACTGGACTCACTGTGATTCTCCACACACATTTGGTATTTGGAGGGTAAACTCCTGGGTACCCCTGGCTCCCGATTACTCCAGACTCTCCTGTGATGTTTCCGCCACATGTAAAGATTGGTCTGAGGAGAAAGATATTTTCTATACATATAAATAAAATAATAACGGTGCATTACAGCAAAATTTAAAAACAAAGTTGATAATATCCATTGGATTCAGTGCATTCAGTTCCTCGCCACATGTCCCGAGGCAGCCCATACTGCACAATATTCTTCCAACTCCAGTCATCTGACGGTGATTTTCAAAAGGCTAAATGGGATCCTTACTTTTTTAATCTAATAAATCTTTCAAGAAAATTTGAGTTTAGGGTAAAAAGTAAATAAAGAAGTACCTCTGCTGGGACTGCGCACAGACTTCTGTCAAGAACAGTAGAGTCCATGCGCAAAAAATACTGCATGTTCTCCACATTGTTGGGAAAACGGAGCAGGAGCTTCGCATGTTTTCGCCCGGTGGCGTGAATGGCATTGTGCTCAACAGGCTAAAACGGAGGGGAAAAGTACCCAGGAGCTCCTGTAAGGAGTTTCAGCAACGGAAAACTCAAGCAAGCAGATGAATATAGCGTTTGTTCTGCGTGGTAGGAGGGACGGGGCGCAGGGTGCACATTTCTTTTTTTTTTTCTTTCTTTTTTTTTTCCCTCAGGGGGGGTTAAAGACGCGCTGGGAGGGGAGGGAGTGGGCACTTGCATTAGTTGGCTGGAAAACGAAAAACCTTTAAGGAGATGGCATGAATAAACTTGACTCCAGAAGTTATCTATGCATGGTTTCACATTCCGATCAACGTGTATATTTCTGAATTCAAATACCTGCATGTGCCTAAAGGTGAATGAGGCAACTTGTGTTGTGTTCTCCAATCTTATTTTTTTTATTTTATATTTTATATATGTCTATAAACTGAATACAAAATACAATTACATGAAATATGGCTTGTTAGAGTTGTGTGCTGCAAAGGGGTCATCTGAGGATTGAAAGAGAGCACCACCTGCTGGACAAACTATGGTGTAAGCAATTTTATTATCACTCAAATTCCAATTCAAAAATGTGCTGTTCTCTCCATCATATTATGTTGTTTATTTGATTATATAATTATTATTTCTATTTTAGATGTTACCTATTTGTCCATTTGCATTTCTTGAAATGCTCAGTCCATGTCATTTGTTTTTAAATTTCATGAATAGTGAAATTACCTTATTTTCTTGCACTGGTACACGTGTGGTAATATTTAGGCTCCTTCATTCTTTGTTTATTTACCCTGATATCTTAGTCTGAATCTGCAGTTTGAATTATACGGAACCTGCATGCTGATTATGGCATATACACACCATTCACATCGGAATTTTCAGTGGGGACAAAAACAAACAAACAAAAAGGATAGAGTGAGATTGAAGTCACTTAGAGCAGCAAATGAGAGTTTACGGAAGCGTAGTACGGAAGCGTAGAGCTGCCACCCAGGCAAAAGAAAAATACAAGTGTATCACGTTCGTACAATATAGGATCACGTTCGTACAATATAGGATCACGTTCGTACAATATATTGTACGAACGTGATCCTATATTGTACGAACGTGATAATTATGTATATTGTAATAACGTGATATTATGTTGTTCAAACGTGAAAAGTATATTGTACAAACATGATAGTATATTGTACAAACATGATAGTATATTGTACAAACAGGAAACGTATCTTGTTAGAACAATAAACCTTTCACGTTATAACGTGATACACTTGTATTTTTCTTTTGCCTGGGTGGCAGCTCTACGCTTCCGTAGTGTAATAGTGGTATTAATTTTATTAATTTATACATATTTATAGTTTTAGTACGTGATAGAATTTTGAATCCTTGTGTCGCGCTTGAGAAACTGAAAGAAGAGAGAAGGGAAGCATCGGCGATTCTGTGATTGATTGCGACGCCTGGAGTTTCACAGTTGCCACTATCATCAGCTCGGCGATCGATTCATTTCAGTTCCACAAAAGATGGCGGACCGAACGCCTGGTGGCTCTCAGAAAGCTAGCGCTAAGGTAAACTTATAGTTTGTAGTTGTTTTAGCTCACTTGCACCTGTTGTAATGAGAACTGTGCAAATAATATTGTCCTTTAACAGCACTAGCTGTTTGCTGTAAAAGACCACAACAGGGAGTGTGCGCAACAGTGTCTGCTAACACTGCCGCGCTACGGCTAACTGAAGCGCCGCAGCCACACTGGCTGGTTGTAGCTAAGCTAAGCTAATGTGTTGGTCACCATAAACTGGATTAATGGAAGCAGTTATCACAGGAATAAACTTGTTCGCAAATCACAAGCTTTACACGTGCATTGTCTTCTGGATGACGTACACTGGTTGTATATTTCAGTGTGGAAATAGTAAATTAAGCATTTGGGAGCTGGGGCCTAACCGTCATTCGCCGTTTAGCGCAATGCATTCAGTCCGTGGCGCTGCACCAAAAGACGACTTCTTAGGCCTCTTGTTAATTTAGCTAATTTCTTAATCTTTCCTGGTCTCCAGCTGCAGCTTGGTCGTAAATGTGTAATGTATTATACTTAAATAATTAGTGTTAAATGTCTGAGTAACGGTTGCCGGCGCCTATTTAATACAGCCGACTTTATAAACCAGCGGCTACAGTCCGCGCTGAAGTTACCTGTTTACGGGATAATTGTTAGGCATAATAATAATAGCAGGACTCAACATTACTTGAACAAGTCGTGGTTGTTTCCAGTTATTAAATAGTCGTAATGTGTGGTTATTAAATACCTGGTGAAAACAACCATACTTTGTTGACATGTACAGGCGCTGCTTGAGAGCAAACTGAAGTCTTTCAGCATTGGCAAGATGGCAGTGGCAAAGAGAACCCTCAGCAAAAAGGAACAAGATGAAATAAAGAAAAAAGTAAGTATGGATTTTCCTTTTGCACAATATTCTCTGCATGAGTAATAGCTGTTAGAGATTTATATGATTTATTTACTTTGACACCTTTGTGCGCGTGTGTGTTCAGGAAGATGAACGAGCGGCAGCTGAAATTTATGAGGAGTTTCTTGCTGCTTTTGAAGGAGGAGGGGAGGGAAAAGTCAAAGCTTTTGTCCGTGGTGGCATTGCAAATGCAACGAAAGGTATACGTTTTGCATTATATATTTCTCAAACTGATTGCAAAATATGCAAATGTTAAAGAACAGTTCACCAAACCTTTTTTACTTTGGAAATTGAAATAGTAATGTGATTGCAGGGCGAAAACTAAAAGATTTTTTTCTTCTTGCAGAGGAAGCGGCTGCTGATGACAAGAGAGGAAAGTTGTACAAGCCTAAGTCACGTTTTGAGACCCAACCAAAAAGCATCCTGCCTTTGGAAACCCCGCCACAATTTTTAGCATTTGACAAACGGCATGTAAGTATTGTTTCTGAGAATGAGAAGCATCTCGTCTAACTTTTGCATTGAATAACACTTACCTGGTTTCCTCATTGTAGGGCTTAAAGAAGACCAGTGAAAAGGAAAAGAAGAAGAGTAATTTGGAGCTCTTCAAAGAAGAACTTAAACAGTAAGTTTTAACACAGGAAGGTGTTAAAATATTTTAGTGGCAGAGATTAGATGTTCCTAAGACTTTTGGTGTGGTTATTAAAGTTGTAATATATTAAACACAGATTTTAATCAGCTGTGATATGTGTCTGTGTCTTGCAGAATACAGGAAGAGAGAGATGAAAGACACAAGATGAAAGGACGTGTTAGTCGCTTCGAACCGCTCTCTGGGACAGATGGAAGACGCTCCTGTAAGTGTTGTTTAAGTCGCGTGACTGCCTTACGTGCACTAACTTGGCCTGACAGCGCCCTTTCCTGCCTTACGCCACCCTCTGTCCCTTTGTCCACATCTACCCTGAAACAAAATTTATACTGCTTTTCTGCTTCTTTTAGCGGATGGTTCTTCACGAAGAAACCGTCCGTCCAGTGGTAATTTTGACTTAATATAGTGACCGTGAATACCTTTATCTTGCTAAGAAAATAATGTTGGTCCTGTCAGACAGCAGCAGGAAATTCTTTTCTCTTCTCTGTGTCTGCAGTTTTGGATGACTGTGCACCAGGTTCCCATGACGTTGGAGATCCATCCACTACTAACTTGTACCTTGGAAACATCAATCCACAGGTTTGTATCTAAACATGCATGAAGTGGAAGTAATGTAAAGCATGCCATAAAAGGAGGGGCTTAAGCATGTTGCTATTCCTTAGAAATTTGCTACATATGCCCTTAATTCAGAATGGGAAATATTTATGCAATGTCTGTGTTTCTCAATTTGTATCATTTACTTCATAGATGAACGAAGAGATGCTGTGCCAAGAGTTTGGCCGGTATGGCCCGCTGGCAAGTGTGAAAATCATGTGGCCGAGGACAGATGAGGAAAGGGCTCGGGAGAGGAACTGTGGCTTTGTGGCTTTCATGAACAGGAGGGATGCAGAGCGAGCACTCAAAAACTTAAATGGTACGAATCTCGAATTCTTTTATTAAGTTGTTATATTACATCCTTTTATCTTCTTTCCAGTTCACATGTGCGTGTATAATTGAATGCACATTTACTCCCATAATAGGAAAGATGATAATGAACTTTGAGATGAAATTAGGATGGGGAAAAGGTGTGCCCATTCCACCCCATCCCATCTATATCCCTCCTTCTATGATGGAACATACACTCCCCCCGCCTCCCTCTGGCCTCCCATTCAACGCACAGCCCCGAGAGAGGCTAAAGAACCCCAATGCTCCTCTGCTTCCTCCACCTAAAAACAAGGAGGAGTTCGACAAGGTAATTCAATACGTCAGCCTAGGATTTTCTCATGGGATATGGCAATGTTTTGTTAATTGTGGTGGTATGATGTTAGTCATAATAAGCAAGTCAGTACAGGATTTAGATTTTGAATTAGTTGTTGTGTGTAAGAAAGTGTCATTATCAAATGTCAATGTGTGCAAAATGCTCAGTGTTACAAAGAGGTGTTACTATGGTAAAGTATCAGGGTTGTTTGGCCTCTAGTAAAACTGACAGCAGGAAAGGAAAGTTATTGTCTTTTTGCACTTTTTAAATGCATTTTTTATATTTTTCACCTGTTGCCTTTGTAACAATACTCACATTCTATGTTTATTATCTGATGTGACTTCATATACAGACTCTGTCGCAAGCCATAGTCAAAGTGGTTATCCCAACAGAAAGGTACATGTTTTTCTTTTTTTTTTTTAAATTGGTGTACAAACTTAGAAAGAAAAAAAACATCCCATAATGAAACTAATACGTTTGATCATTTGATCACTGCATGCTACAGGGGGCTGGTCAGTGTGGATGAGCAATGGTTGAGGCAGCTGCACGGCGTCTTCATACTAGTACCTAGAATAATACTGACTGAAGTTTGTTTCACATCCCTCCATCATTCATATTTTCTTTACATGTGTAGCCAAACATCATTATAGATCTTAATAACTATGCTATTTAGAGAAAAAGATCATTACTTTCACAGTCCCACTCCATACATAGACATTAAATCGTGTTTCTCAACTTTAGTGATGTTGTACTCTGCTACATACATGATCTGCTGATTCTAGATCCGTAGTTGTGAAAACCTGTTCTCTGACCATTGCTCACTCAGACCGTCTCCCCCCTTGGCCTCTGTCACTATGAGGAGCTCAGTAAATTTGGCTCCTGCTGACAAATCCAAACCTGCCATCATTAGTCTATATATGACCTTTGACATTGGCCTTGGTGAGCAGCACAAGTTGAACTGTCTGCAGCAGCGAGGGACCTGAAAAGCATCATGGGATGGATTGGGAAAGTATACAGAATTTTACCCCGTCATTGGTACGATCGGCTCCAATACAAGTAAATGTGATTTGTGTTGTCAAATGAAAGACATCCTTTGTCTTGTTGGCCACTTTAGGCTAATTGTATGCAGCCTGCACAATTTATTTCCTCTACAAATTATCACAGAAGAACTTCTAACGTTCCCATTTGCACAGTTTTAAGTCGGTACCAACTCCACTAGTAGATAACCCGTTTTAAGCCAAAGATCATGTACTGCTTTTTCACGTTACATTAGTAGGAAAGAGTGGGAATTGAAAGGCACTGTACTGACAAATATTCCTGTTAGTACGGTGTCTTATTAATGTCTCGCTCCTGTTGTTCCCAATTCCACTCACCCCCACATTGTGAAATTTGAACTTAAAGATATTTTATATCAAGGTTCCGAGCAGTGCAATGTAATTAAAAGCTGTTGCACTGTAGCTTCAAAGAACACAGGCATGACCTTAGTAGATGCAATAAAAAAAGCTTTTCTTTTCTTTTCTTTTCCTTTTTTTTTTTTTAATTGACATGAATGTCGTACTGTCACAAAATGTTTTTATATACATATTTTTTATTTTTTGCGTGTATTCATTGATGTTATATGTAGGCCCAGAGGTGTAGCCACAGTGATGGTTAATTTATTCCTGGTCATGTGACACACTCTGACAGTCATCTGTTGTCTCATATTCCCCGTCATTTAAACCGTCGCCATAGTAAATAATAAATGGGTATTGTGGTAAGATTTTAGAGTGATTTAGCCATCGTTCTGTACCAAGTATATAATATCACAGTAGAAATTTATTATTCAGGAATAGGTCAATACAGCTGCATTTATGCTTGCAGCATTTCATTGTGTGACATAAATTGTCTTTGCCTAGTCAGCCTGTTGAGTGCGTCAGACCACCAAGAATAAATTAATCTTTAATTGGGAGGTTTTAGTAGTGTTCAAGAGTCCGTCCAGTCTGAATCCGTTTGCTTTAACTGTGTTTTTCTTGTAGGAATTTGCTCTCTCTCATCCATCGAATGATCGAGTTTGTGGTGCGTGAAGGACCAATGTTTGAAGCCATGATCATGAACAGAGAGATCAACAATCCCATGTACAGGTGAGCTTAGCTGCACAATAGAAATGTAGTGTTATTCTGTTAGCTAAAATTCTATGATGTGCCGAGTTACAAAGGTTGTGTATGTCTTTTTATTACAGGTTTTTATTTGAGAACCAGAGCCCAGCACATGTATACTACCGATGGAAGCTCTACTCCATACTGCAGGTTAGTTTTCTATCTTGAAAAAAGTTGCAAAATTTCAGGGGGATCCAGCCATTCCACTAAGTTTCTTCTTTTTATCAATGTGTTCACTGTGATTTATTACCTCCTCAGGGTGAATCACCAGCCAAATGGCGAACAGATGACTTTAGGATGTTTAAAAATGGCTCTTTGTGGCGCCCACCTCCTCTTAATCCGTACCTCCATGGTCCTTACGATGACGGTGAGGAGGAGGAAGATGAAGAGGAGGCCAATAAGAAAGGCTGCTTAAAAGAAGAGTAAGAATATTTGTTTATATTCTGTTACATCTATGTTGTATTTGCTAAATTGCAGAAGTTCTGAGGTCTTTACTTGAAGGAACACTGGAGTCATGCTTTGATTTCTAATTGGCTTTGTTGATGTTCCCACCTGCTCCAGTGTTGTTACAACTGTTAATACTTTGCTGAGTAGTGACTCAGTATTTAGAAATCGGCAGGATAGTCGAGTTTCTCTGCATATCCATTAATTTTAACATCAACTCGCAGCTCACGCCTGCACTCGCACTGCTACAGTTTTGCTAATCTAACATGAAAGTAAATGTAAAAACACAAAGTGAGAACCTGAATTGTCAACTGTAATGGAATAAACTTGTGCTTTGTAATTGAAAACCCAGGCCTACCCCAACATGCCCTCTCTGGAGCTCTACAGTTTCAGTGGACAGAAATACTTTTTTTTTCTTAACACTGACTTTTATTGTTAAAATTTTAGGTGTATTAAGAAAAAAAGCAGCCACGCAAATGAAGCTTTAATTTATTTTGGTCCTGGCTTTTATTTTATTATTGTGACAGATATAGGGCTGTGTGATATGACCAAAATCTCATATCCCGATATAAGACATCTATCGTCCCGATAATGATATAAATCACAAAGATTTAACATTTTCTGTAAATTCTGTGAATCTCTGGCAGCTCAACTTGCATGAAGTGTTTCCAGCTGGGCATCGTGTACCTGGAGTCGAGTGTTTTAACCGATGCATTAAAGGATGCATTTTTAGACATAAGTTGTAACGCCGCCGTTTTCTTTGTGAGTGTTTATTACACGGCGTGCTGCGGGGAAAAGCCTGTTCTAACGTTTGACTCTAAGGTTTATTTTTTAGCACCTGACGCCTCTTTTTTGCTTTTCATCCGTAAATAATCTGCATACTCTTTCACGTGATTCAGTTTATTTTGAAAAGTCTCAAGAGGATCTTGAGCTTTATTGTGAAAGGTTTATGTGGAACATAAACAAGCGGACACGTGATGGTTTTACCGTCGTTGTTGCTAATGACAACGCATAAAAACAGGCACTTGTCCATCCGTAGTGTGGTTATATTACATATAAGAGAAAGAGAGAACTTTAAGAAATTAATATAGCCACTACAGTGACCATCAAAACGATGAAAAAATATTGCCGTAAACAGTTTATTTTGCGACACCACGAAACAAACGATAGCGTAAAATGAAACATAGATGTTTTTATATTGTCATCCGATATATATCGTTATATGAACAGCCCTAGACAGATATGAAAAGTACAGTAGTGCTGACAACAGCTGGGTTAAATGCACTTTGTCCTCACTGTCCTTCATCTCTGCAGGGAGCGGGACAAACTAGAGGAGATGCTGCGTGGTTTGACTCCCAGGAGGGCAGATATTGCAGAGGCCATGCTGTTCTGTCTCAGCCATGCTGAAGCTGCTGAAGAAATTGTGGAGTGTATCACAGAGTCCCTCTCCATCCTAAAGACCCCTTTACCCAAGAAGGCAAGACACTGACCAAAAGAAGAGAAAGACTTTGATAACAACCTGTTTATAGAATTACCCGAAAACCCTTCCAGAATCATAAACTCCGGTTTGCTCTTTGATGTGTTTCAGATTGCACGGTTGTATCTAGTTTCTGATGTGCTGTATAACTCTTCTGCCAAAGTAGCCAATGCATCTTACTACAGAAAATAGTAAGTTATGTCGTTTGTATACTTGAACCATATTATCATCAATTGCACTTAGTCACTCCTTTTTTCCCAGGAAATAAATTGCTCTTTCCTTGTTCGTAATAGCTTTGAGACAAAACTCTGCCAGATTTTCGCCGACCTAAACGCAACTTACAAAACAATACAAGGTCACCTTCAGTGTGAAAACTTCAAGGTACCAAGTCTTGTTAAGTAAACTTCACAGCCTTGATAATTTATATAGTTAAACATCCAGGTTACTTAGCTCTTTTTGTCCTAATTCTTTTTTCTTTTTTTTTTGTGTGTGTGTGTGTGTGCGCTAGCAACGGGTAATGTCATGTTTCCGGGCATGGGAGGACTGGGCTGTGTACCCTGACCCTTTTCTTATCAAGCTGCAGAACATCTTCCTTGGTCTAGTAAACCTCGCTGTGGAGAAGGAGCCTGTAAGCCTTGTTGTGGAGGTAAGTGAGGCTTTATTATTTAGTCTTTTCAGTACCATTAAAGTTATTGTATTATTATTGCTTTGAAAATTTACCATGCTGCTACTAAATTTCCATGTTTTTTCTTTTTCCTCTACATTTGTATCAAGCCTGAGCCAGCAGACGACATTGATGGGGCTCCTATCGGGGATTATGTAGATGGTACTCCACTGGAGGACGTGGATGGAGTGCCCATTGACTCAGTTCCCCTTGATGGGGCACCAATCGATGGAGCCCCTCTGGATGACCTAGATGGAGTTCCTATCAAGTCCATGGAAGAAGACCTAGATGGAATACCTTGTGAGTAGTGCATACAATAACAAAGCATGTTTCCAAGAGCTGTTGGATCCATCAATTTCCCAGCGACTCAGTTCGTTTCTTTTTTTTCTTCTTTCTGTTAATATAGTGGATCCGTCCAAGGATGCTCCCTTCAAGGTAGCACCATCGAAATGGGAAGCAGTGGATGAGGCAGAGTTAGAATCTCAAGGTGAGGCCTTTTAAAGTGTCAGATTAGTTGTTACCTACATTATGTTATCATAGCTGGCGTGAGGGTTTTGCAATTACTTGACTCATATAATTG